TGTTATTTTGGGCACATATTGGTTACATTACAATCGTGCCAATATAGATTGTTATAGGAAGACAGTCACGTTTCATCATCCTGGGTTACCTGAGGTTACATTTGTGGGCAATCATGGTGGGGTGAGGCATGGTGTTATTTCTACCATAAAGGCTAAAAGGTTGTTAACGAAAGGTTGTCAGGGATATTTGGCTCATGTGGTGCTGAATGATAATGTTCCTACCAGTGTGGAGGATGTACGAGTAGTCAGGCATTTTCCTAATGTATTCCTTAATGATTTACCTAGATTGCCACCAGATCGAGACGTGGAGTTCACTATTGATTTACTTCCAGGTACAGATCTTATATCTTTATCTCCTTATCGAATGGCTCATGCTGAATTGAGGGAATTAAAAATTCAGTTGTAGGAATTAGTTGATAAGGGCTTTATTCAGCCTAGTATTTCACCCTGGGAAGCTCCAGTTTTATTTGTGTGAAAGACAAACGGGACTTTGAGGTTATGTACTGATTATAGGTAGTTGAATCAGGTAACAATCAAAAACCGTTATCCGTTGCCGCGTATAAATGATTTATTTGATCAGCTTCGGGGCGCCTGTAGCTTTGAGGTGTGGTTACCATCAATTGAAGATCAAAAGTGAAGATGTTCCTAAGACGGCTTTTAGGACTCGATATGGTCATTATGAGTTTCTTGTGATGCCATTCGGGTTAACTAATGCACCTATAGCTTTTATGGACTTGATGAATCGAGTATTCCAACCATATCTAGATAGATTTGTCATTGTCTTTATTGACGATATTCTGGTGTACTCTAAGTCTAAAACAGAGTATGTTCGACATCTCACTTTAGTGTTGAAGAAATTGAGGGAACATCAATTGTATGCTAAGTTTAGCAAATGCCAATTTTGGTTAATCAAGTGGCATTTTTGGGACATGTTATATCCAACGAAGGTATTCAGGTGGACCCTTAAAAGGTAGCAACCGTTGAGAATTGGGAGTAGCCACAAACCATCACGAAGGTACGGAGTTTCCTTGGTCTAGCAGGTTATTATCGACGGTTTGTTAAAGATTTTTCAGTTATTGCATTACCACTAAAGAGGTTGACAAGAAAAGATGTTAAATTTGAGTGGGACGATAATTGTAGCAGAGTTTCCAGCAGTTGAAGTATTGTCTCACTCATGCACCTGTTTTGGCGCTCCCAAATGATAGTGGTAATTTCGAGATCTACAGTGATGCTTCCTTGAATGGTCTGGGTTGTGTGTTGATGCAGCATGATAAGGTGATTGCTTATGCTTCACAACAGTTGCAGCCTCATGAGATGAATTATCCTACTCATGATCTTGAATTAGCAACCATTATCTTTGCCTTGAAGATTTAGGTGAGAGGATAGCTAGAGGATTCTTCTCCACACATGAAACGTATGCATATAAATTGATTTCCATTTATTCTTCCTATAAACCATGAATGACAATGCACTAAATTAATTGTGAACAACACTAATTAACTCTCAGATTTTCCTAAGTTCATTGAATTAGACTCGGCGACGCAACCAAATTATTCTTCTCAAGTTCCCTAACTATGAAAAGCATGATAGAGATACATCTCAAAGATCATTAAGTTCTGTGAAAATCATAAGCATTGACAAGGCATTCGTAACTAAGAAAAGCATGATACTTCTGCCAAGAATTTACTTAACGTAATTATGACTAGTGACTTTTACTACTTGCAAATATAAGTTCATAACGATTAAGTGAAATTCCCTTATATTCTAGCATTAAATCCCTGCATGCAAACTAAGTATGCATCCTTAATAAACATACAAGAATAAGTTTTCTATAGAGCAAATAAGTAAATTGCATTCATGTCTTACGAAACAATAACTGGATGTAATCAATTTATATAAAACATATGATCATGGCTTCAAATTCACCTCTAGCTAAAAAGAAACTTAGTTACACATGTTCATCATAACTAAAAAAAAAAATCTAAAATAAACATTAAAACTAAACAAGGATAGAAAGAACTCTGAAAACTCCAATGGTTGAATGGCAGGTTGCGGCACAATCTCCCCCCTGATATTTGCCGCACAACTTGTTTATATAGGGCAAAGGGCACGGCTAAATCCAAGGAGAAAAATGATTAGGGTGTTTGAATGGATTATGACTCCTAGAATTAGATGGGAAGTATTTAGAATAGGATAAGGACTCATTTTGCAGCTGGAAATAAGATGAGATAATGTTGGATAAAATGGGATAATGTTGGACAAGGTTATATAAGATAAGATTGGATAAGATGAGATAAGTTTGGATAAGGTTGGATAAGATTGTGTATTTCCTTGTCTTCCAAGCTTCAACTTTGATTCCTCCAGATCTTAGCACATGTTTAGCACATGTTAAACACCAAAAAACGTCCAGCCCATATGCTCTCCACGCATGCTATCCAATCCAAGTCCAAAACTGCTCCAAATTGCTGCATTTTGCCATTTATTGTCATCTTTACCAATTGGACCTACAATAATACGAAAATAACATAAATTACCAAAATAAATAGAAATTAATGAAGTAAATGCAATGAAATAAGATAACAAAGTTGCATAAGTATGCTCCTATCAAAGCCCAATGAACTTTTGTAACCATCCACACCACAAACCACTCAGTTGGCCATGTTAAGTAGGTTTGGGCTCATTTAAGCATGATGTATGCATGGCGTGACTCATATCATAATATTAAAGTATTAATATTATAATATGGCTTGCATGATAAATATGTGTGATTTGCATGGGCTTGACATTCAATAAGCTATTATTTTATTGACGTGGCATGAACGTAAATTTGCATGATCTTCATTTCGTACTTTACATATGGGTTTATGCTTGGCTTGTGATGCTTCCACAACGATTGGGCTTGTAGGTGACTTTTTTGGGCTCCAACAAATACAATCCACAACATATGTGTGCGCACCCCGAAGTCCATGCAAGGTTGAGTCATGAGATATGAGCCATCATCTGCATCAGGTGCCCCATGACAACCTCTAGATGGAGAAATATCGCCCCTGAGGTAAAGCATGCTTTGATGGCAGAGATCTCAGTAACTATGTTTTTTCTAATTTAGTATTTTTAATAAAATTTTAATTATTCAAATAATTACTTATTTAATTGGTGTATTTTTATAACTACCCTCTCCCCCCCCTTTTTTTTTTTTTTTTGGTCTATTTCAAGGCAACTTTGAGATCAAAGTGTCGAGTATATCTGAATACATAACTCTGTTGAGGAGTGATCAGTTCAGGGAGTGTAAGTACAAGATGCACAGCCACTACAATACTTTAGAAACTCATGAGGAAGCTATGTCCCATCCGCCCTATGGTGTATAGGATCGACGAGTGACAATGGCTCTGAGCCTATTTTATAAGCAAATTACAAAACGAAATCTTCTATCAGGTAAAATACAATTTATAATTTTGTTTTGTAATTTAAACTTTGCCCGAGGAAAATGTTTGGTCGCATATGTGCCTTTCTTCGGGCCTAATGGGTCAACACAGTTTCGTGTGACAAAATGGTCATCAGTAATTTTGTCGGGTTAAACAACGTAGCTCAATGAATTCTGAATTTCGTCAAGTAAACCTTCAGGCAACGATTTTTGTGAACTTTGTTCGATGGGATTTCATCACCTAAAATTAAAAGGCGACGAAACCGTGCTTTACACGACGAAATTTTTTCGTCTGGTATGGTATATTTTTTTTTTTTTAAGTGGCTGAATGGGATAGACGTGGCATACCTTGTAAATTGTGGTAAATGCGCGTTTGATTTTGTTATTATTAGGTGGCAAACTGGTGAATTTTTCCTTCAATTAAAATACTAAAATTAATAAAAGTTCAGTCTAGTTGTATTCCTCTTCATTTGTAAATGAGAGGTTTTATGTTTGATTCTTGCTAAAGACAAATTTGAACCACATTATTGTTAACCTATTATAAGACTAAGCTCACTTGTTTCCAAAAGCCTCCCATCAAACAAGTAATTTGAGACAACAGTCCATAAAATAGCAGCTTGAGCCTCAGACTTAGGGGCGCTTTTCATCAATAAAATGGTAACATGATCACTTATCCAAAATCAACTCGTGATACCAAAAAATTAAAAATAAAAAAATAAAAAAAATCAATTCCATTGCAATTTATTTTATAGAGAACTATCTAGGACTGCTATTAAGAGTAAAAAGATATGTATTAATTTCAAACTTAACGGTTGGGTCTATAAAGGTATATTAATTTCACAAAAATAAAAAAGGAATGCTAGCTTGTAGATACCTTCGCCATTTACATTCCTCTACTTGCCTTTCCGATTCAGTGGATGTCATGTGTACCAAATCATTAGATTATCCACCAAAATTTGACAAATCTAATTATTTTTAATACAAGTTTCATTTTTCTAGACTCTTCTTTTTATTTTTGTTTTTTATTTTTTAGTTTTGGGAGTATCAACATATTATTCTAAAAATGAAGGGAGAATCCAAAAAACTAAATTTGTATAAAAAAATAATAATATTAATAATTAAAAGAATTAAATTTGTCAAGTTTTGGTAGATAATCTAATGATTTGGTTCACGTAGAGGATTTAACTAGGGGCATAAATGAAAAGAGAAGAAAGATGTTTTAAACAATTAATACATAGATTTAGGTATAAGATAAATTCACATGTCAATCCACTGCGTGTGAAAGACAAGTGGAGAAAGATAAATAGAAAAGATCGCTCGCATTTCTCATAAAAAAATTATGATTATAAAAAGAATATTGAGAGTGTAAAAGAAGAAATATTGAATTTGAATAAAATTTCTCTACTAATACTTTCCCAAACAAGGCTATTTACTAGGCTACATGATCGTTTAAGATTTTAGTACGATTTCTTACCTTTTTCTTTGTGATTACGTTTTCCTTCATAAATTAGGTTTTCCTATTGAATTAGGGTTTGTGTTTAGTATATAAACTGGTTGTTTGAGTTATTTTTCTCTAACTCATACTCTTTCTTCTTCTTCGTATACAAGCTCAAGTAGTCTAGAGATAGAAAAGAAAGAAGGGTGAAAAAATCATGTGTAGTAACCTTGTAAGCAGGGTGTTGATATTGGCATGGCTGTCGGCGATGACCACAGCACAAACCGTTGCTTCCCAAAACAACTACAAGGATGCTTTGTCGAAGTGTCTTTTATTTTTTGAGGGGCAAAGGTCAGGAAAGTTACCACCTTCGCAACGACTAACTTGGAGAAAAGATTCTGCCCTAAAAGATGGCTCTGATATTGGCGTAAGTTTCTCTTTCAAGATAGACACACGATTATATATAGGCAGCCATATATAACTCGTCGTGTGGAAATTGTTTTTTTTTTTTTTTTTTTTTTTGGTCAGTTCGATGAAAAAAAATACTGTTCCTCATCAACTGGATACAAATTGACCATTTAGCACAAGGTATAGTCAACATTGATCTTGCGGAACTGGCGTGAAAACTAACCTTTATTCTTCGGCCTAAACCGAGATGGTGCGATACCAACGACTACTTGTGAAGTACCATGGTACTGGGCGCATGGCGATCAACAGACATCACATGCCATATATCTTTTTGATAATTTTTACCCAAACGTAATAGACTTGTATTAACTTAAAATTTCCAGGGGAAAAAAAAAATTAAATCTATGTTTAATTTGAATATATGATCTATAAAAATATGTAGGCCTCCATATATATCCATGCATATATGTTGTAATATTATCTGGTACGTATGTTAAACATGCCCTTGTTCCATCCTCAGAGGGATCTTGTAGGAGGGTACTATGATGCAGGTGACAATGTGAAGTTCAACTTTCCGATGGCGTTCACTACAACGATGTTGTCATGGAGCGTTCTAGAGTTCGGAAATTCGATGGGTGCAGATCATGAACATGCTTTGGAAGCTATAAGATGGGGGACTGACTATTTTCTTAAAGCTACTAGTGTTCCTGATTCTGTCGTTGGTGCAGTTGGTGACCCCAATGGCGATCACACTTGTTGGCAAAGGCCAGAAGACATGGACACTCCTAGAACCTCTTATGTAGTAACAAAAGAAAAGCCAGGTTCTGAGGTATCGGCCGAGATTGCAGCTGCGCTTGCAGCGTCTTCCATGGTTTTTAAAGATTCAGACAAAGACTACTCTGCCTTGCTTCTTAAACGATCCATCGAGGTATGTATAATTATTAGAAAATCAAATTGTCATCCAAAGTTTATTTTATTTTATTAAATCCTGGTATTAGATTAGATTTAGTTTTGGTCCTTTGCTGTAAATATATATACTACTTATAACTGTGAGATATGTAAGTAACTTATGTTGTCAAGTGAATTAAACACGCGTCATTTTTCTTCTCTTACACATCCATGTTTAATCAAATTTATTGTTTTGGTTTGATTTACAATTCGGTAGCTAGAAATAAAATTGGGTGTTTGAAAATCAACTCTTTCTAAATTTGGGTGAAAATAGATTTTTTTTTTTTTTCTTTTCAAATTCTCTTTTAGTGGCTTTATTTTAATTTTTTTTACCATCATGTAATAGATTATCCTCATTTAGTATTTTATATCGATACATTTTGATATGCATTGTGAATATTATAGTTTACCGCAATGTATATTTATAGTAATGTATCATAAACAAGAGACCAATTAAAATCAAAATCCAATTTAACACCATATCAGTTGCAAAGACAAAGCCATTTATCCAAGCATGAAAATCGACCTGCACATGCACGCGCACGCACACACACAAATAGCAGTTAAGTAGAATTTCTCTTATGTTTCTATTTTTTATATTTATCGAAACTTTAGGTCTAAATAAATTTTTCTGTATGTGGATATTAGGTTTTTGAATTCGCAGATAAGTACAGGGGCTCTTACGGTGACAGTATTGGTAGCGGAGTGTGTCCTTTTTACTGTGATTTCAGCGGCTACATGGTATAATTAATTATCGGTGTCACTTAAATTGTTTATTTTCCAAATTTCAAATTTTTAAGCTTCTAAATTTTAATTACTTGTCAAAATTTTGATTTTGTTTTTCGTAAAAATCCCCAAATAAATTAAAACTAATTAACTGTTGCATGCAGGATGAATTGGTTTGGGGAGCTACGTGGTTATACAAGGCAACCAATACACCAGATTATTGGAACTATGTCAGAAACAACATAGTTGGTGATATCACTGAATTTGGATGGGATTCAAAACATGCTGGCATCAACGTACTCGTTTCTCAGGTCAAATTATTAGATCAATTTCTTGTTCTTTAATAATAGATAAATAACTTTAATAATTATATAATGAATGATCCCAATAAGCTGTAATTGTTGCAGTGGGCAATGACTGATGCCAATAATTCTAGTCCTTTTATTCTCAAGGCAGACCAACTTGTATGCTCCATTTTGCCTGAATCACCTGCTCAAAAATCAGTCACATATTCACCAGGTAAATTTCCCAGAAAAGGCCAGTAAAAGTGGATTTTATGTGTGTGTGTATATATATATATACAAGGTTCTAAAAAATGCTAGGCGCTAGTCGGGCGGAGGGTAGGGGCCTAGTGCCTAGACGGATTTATGTAAATTTATTATATATTTTGTAAATAAATGCCTATTTACACTTAAAAAAAAAAAACTATACTTATATGAATAATAGAAGAATGATAAAATGTAAAATAGAAGTAGAAGAATACGCAAAGTACATCCATCCAACAAGTTCAATATTTAAAAAATAGTAACCATAAATAGGTAATGTAACACGTTATTTTTTTAAAAGGAAGAGATATATATAGGTAATGTAAAGAATTTTAAGTACATAATTTGAAGAAAAAAAAAGTAGATAATAATATATAATATATTTGTTTAATAATGGAGTTGGTAACGTTTTTAAATATAATTCATAAGTCTAGTGCAATGTTATTCTGATTCCTTCTACATATCTCTCTCACGTTTACTCTTCCCTCAAGCTTTCTCAATTTCTCTTTTGTCACCCTCGCGGTGTAGTGAAATGGAATATTTTAACAGAACCACCGTGGAGGCCGCTTAGCCCACCTAGGCAACGCCTAATACCCTTGCCGATTACCTGAACGTTTTTGAAATAATCGCGATGGTGGCCCGAAGCCCAGCGCCTAGGCGCCCAGACCGAGTTTTAGAACATTGTGTGTGTGTGTGTGTGTGTGTGTGTGTATGTGTGTAGTAATCCTTTAACAAGAGGGATCCTCATTTTTCTAAAAAAATAGGAACACCTTCTTGACCGTTGGATTTGACTTTAATGAAATTGTGTGGTTGAGATTGTGTGGCCTGTGTTTAATCTCAACCATACAATTTCATTAAAGTCAATCCCATGGTCAAGAGGGTGTCCCCATTTGTTTAGAAAAATGGGAATCCCTCTTGTTAAAGGGTCTATATATGTGTGTGTGTGTGTGTGTGTGTGTGTGAATATATCATGTTATTTTGCCAAATTATTGTGACCCAGTATACATTGCATGTGTGGAAGTGATTAGTATTCATTATATGTTAATCTAATCTTTTTTGCCCCTTGTATTTTCATGTATTAGGTGGGCTCTTGTTCAAACCTGGAGGAAGTAACCTCCAACATACGACGTCCCTATCATTTCTTCTTTCAGTTTATGCTGGCTACATGAAAGCTAACAACAAAGTTGTTGACTGTGGCAACAATGTTGTTGTCACTCCAGCCAAATTGGTGGATTTCACCAAAGGCCAGGTATGTGTGTATGTGTGTGTGTGTGTGTAAGGCCAGGTATGTGTATGTGTGTGTGTGAGGTCTTGTTTGGCACACCGTATAAAGCGCTGGATAGTACTAATAATACGGAGTACAATGTTTGGTGTCCGTTTGGATTAAATAATCCGGACCCACCTTTTTTATATTGTCTTTACCCGCTTGCTTATACCGTCCAAAACCACGGTACAATTTAGTCGGCTAAAATCTCTAGCTATCTCCTTCCTCTCCAAACGCACTATTGCTCTCTCGTCTGAATCCTAGGTTCATCTTCTTAAATTCTTCTTCATTTGAATCCGAATTCGTCTTTTCATTTTTCTTCTTCTTCCTAGGTTCTGCCCCTCCCTCTATTATTCACCGTTGGCCAAATCACCATTGACCCAAAATAGCAGCACTAATTCACCAATCGTGGGGTTGTATTTATTGCAATTCTATATGTTACAAGGTACCCCCTCTGAATCTGCAGCAAAGAAGAGATTAAAAAAAAAAAAAATCACCAATCGTGCGCCGAACCGTTGGCCCTCCCTCTGTTCTTGTTTTTCCAACTAACGGGAATCAATGGCAATGATTCTTCTAGTAGTTTGTGGATTTTGGTTTAGTTAATATGTTTCTGGGCTTCTTCTACAACTAGGTCTTGCAAAGAAACATGGTGTATTTGCAGAGAGGTTCTTGCCTGAAATTGCAGTGAAGGAAAACTGAGTCTAGGTGTTAATTGCAAAGTTTTGGAGTCGGAAATCAGTCGAGGAAGAAGAAGAAGGGAGAGAGAGGGAGGAGTTTGGGGGGTGCGGTGGAGAGATCTGGCGAACAAAAAAGATCATTTCAGTTTTTTTTTATTTTTTTATTCTAAGTTTGATTGTTCTTATCCAGTATAATACCAAACATAGTATAAATAATACAGTCATTAGTCTGATACTGTATCAAATGCCAGACTAATTTAGTCAGTACTATCCGATAGCTATTTAGCTTATGAAATATTCACTCCCACGTAACTGCAGTCATGGTTTAATAGCCATAGAAAAAATAGTTTATATGCACACACATTACATTGTGATTCATTTATAGGGAGGTTATGTTTCTTGAACTATTATTAATTGGTGACTGAAATTTGATTTGCAATAATATCAATGCAGGTTGATTATATACTAGGAAAAAACCCTCTAGGGATGTCATACATGGTTGGATTTGGGCAAAAGTTTCCTCAGAAAATACATCACCGTGGGTCTGTGATACCTTCGATTGACCAACACCCGCAACACATCGAGTGCCATGGAGGAGACGAGTATTTCAAGAGCAACAGTCCTAACCCTAACTTGCTAACAGGTGCTATTGTGGGAGGACCTGCTGAAAACGATACATTCGAAGATTCTCGATCTAATGTTGCACAATCGGAGCCAACCACATATATCAACGCAGCTTTTGTGGGTGTATTGGCTGCCTTACTTTAAGCCAATATTTTTTTTCCTAATTCCATGACTATTTTGGGGGTTAGGAGTGATTGTTACCCTCCCAACTTCACTGTTAGACCAAAGAACATGAATTACTAGAAATAGTTCTTTATATTTTGTCAAAGATTAATGCAAAAGTTAACGAATAATTTAACAAATATCTTTTGATAAAGTTAACAAATAAGATTAATCCAAACGAGTAAGTTACTCTAGTTTAATTTGAATTATTTTTCTATAATAGAGAAAATCATTTATGAGTGGTCTACTAATCATTATTGAAATTGGAGAGAAATTTGATTGAGGAGGAATTGAATAGGAGAAGAATTAGAATTCATATCCTATTTAAGTTTTTTTTTTTTTTTTTTTTGGTCACAGAGTAGATACTAGTAAATTCTAATTGGAATGTTTATATCAAACGTCAGAACATTAAACAACCATTGTAGCTCATACAAATCCCATACATGGACACCCCTCACACGCATGACAAAAGATGACACCTGATGCGTAGCCCCATTACAGGCACGAGAAATGAACAAAAACTCGGCTGACCTTAATTGTTGCTTTAACTATTGAATGTCCCACAAAAGATCTTCAATGATGACCTCATTTTGTAAGACGCCATTCAATATATCCACCAAGTTTTTCGAATCAAATTCCACTTGCACCACCTTATAACCCTTCTCCACACAAGCCAACAGTGCCTCTCTCATTGCTTCCGCCTCTACCATTAAACTCGACTGGCACAACACATTACCCACCCCTCCTGCAGTTTTAAAAATCCCAACAAAATCCCTTGCTACCCGCCCAAAACCCCCCTTCCCAGTTCGAGAGCACCATGCACCATCACATTGGACTTTAATTTTCCCAAACGGTGGTTTAGACCACCTACTCCCACCCTCCCCTTCTCCCTGCCCCTGTCGACATGCCTTTTGTCATCCCTCCCCCGCAGCCAGTTCAATCTTACTCCAATGTTGGCTCAAAAGTTCCACCGCCTCCCTCTGGTCCACTGCAATCTTATCAAAAACCAACCTATTGCGACATTTTCAAATTTTCCAAAGGCCACATACAATCCACCTTAACAATCTTCCCTGCTCCATAAAATCACTATATTTTGACAAATCCATTTCCAGCAATCCAAAAAAGTCCGCCCCTCCACACTAGCAATATACAACTGGATGGGTGATCCAAACCAAAACACTTGAGCAAATGGGCATAGAAAAAAATAAATGCACCTGGGTTTCTAAAGCATCTTCACAATGTGGACACTTTGTCTCCAACTGAACACCACGGCATTGTACGGCATTGTAAATTTGTAAGCACCTCAAGAATATTTTTACATCCTATTGAAGTTTTTTTTATAGAATAATCAGTTGTGCTTCCTTTTTTCTTTTTTTTTTTTCTTTCTTTTTTTCTTTTTTTATGCGGAGGAGGGCAGATTACAAAAGTGCACAGTTTTGCTTCCTTCTAATACTACTTCTGATATGCTTAAATACTAATCAGTTGTAAAATAAACAAGTTGGTTGTTTGATAGTATGAAAAGCAGTGTAAAATCATTTGGTAAATTGTAATGTAAAAGTGTTGTAGTTGTGTATCATTGGCATATTAGTGGGGTGGTGGAGATGCCGTTAGTTATGGTGGCAGTGACATGGTATGGTGTGCCGTCAATAGTAGGGTATGGTGGTTGGTATGTAGACGTAGCAATGGTGATAGCAGGGTTGATGCCATTGGTGGCTATTACAACAATGGTGGTAGTTATTGAAATGGTGGTGAAAGGTTTGTGGTTGAAGTGACAGTGGTGGAAGTTATGGCATGGGTAACAGTTGGGATATGGTAGTGGTGCCAATAGGGGGTGTGGTGGTTGGCAGTGTAGAAGTAGCACTGGTGGTAAGAGAAAAGGTGACGGTTGTGGTGGTGGTGGCAGTAGTGATGACTTCAATGGCGGCAACAATGATGGTAGTGTTGTAATGTTATGCCCCGATCCCGATATATGTGGAGGATATCGACGCGCAACAATCGACTGTAGGTACTATTCTAAAAATACTCGCCTAGCACTGGCTAAGCCTTGTCTAAGCACTATGCGGCTAGCTACTGCCTTGATTAATCCCTAGGCATTTGAAAATTAAGAAAGGGTGTCTAGACCTGCTTAAGTGTCCGCCTAGCCTGCCTAGGCGGACTGCCCAAACCTCCATAGGTACCTAGGTAGTAACTATCATTTAGACAAAAAATTGATAACTTCCATTTTGCATTTTATTTTTAATAAAATGTAAGAGACTTGATGAGTATTTGGATGAACACCCATTATATGCTTATTCGCCATATTTTTCTAATAATTTATAACTATATGTTATTTTATTTTGCAATTTATGTATCCCAATACAACTATGTATTTTTTTAAGTATAAATAGAAACTTATTTATATATAATAAATCTACGTAAATTGGCCTAGCCCACCTAGGCCCCCGTCTAGCCGCCTCAGTGCTAAGCCCCAACCCACCACCCCACTAGCGCCTAACGCCTAGCGTCTTTTAGAACCTTGACTGTAGAAGGTGTAAGGAAATACAAACTGAAATACTGAACTAAAATTCACAATATTTACAAGGTGGTGCGGTATATATCATAGATATACAACTGCACAAAAAAGCTAATGCCCATAGGCTCCCAAAAGAAAGTCCAAAAGAAAATACAAGGAAGATATAATGGTAACCTAACCACTCCAACTCTCTAACCTCTGAATGCTACCCCAAAAGCTCCTCTTATCTACTAAGCTCTGTCACTTGCACAACCACCCCTATACCATGGGAATGGTGCACCGGGCAGATCAACAACCCGGATAAGCTACGAAGCTTGTGTGAGTGACAATAATAACAAACATAAAACCAACCCATCAATCACAATGTATAAACATCAAATATAAATTCATTCTTTATAAAATCATAATCAAACCACTAAAAATCCTGAAGGAGTCACGCAAACATCCATCTGTCTTTCTAATCAAACCATGAAGGTTATCAAAATCTATGTTTCATAAATGCATTGAAAATTAGGGATAGAGGGACACAGTTCGGCCGAAGCTTACATCTCATAAGATTCCACAATCAAGACCAATTTGAAGGAATCAACAAACCAATGAAGACAAGGGATCAAATTCTAACCACTCAACGAAATCCAACAAGGTTCTGGACATCATCGGAACCAAATGCAAAAAGGGATTCCAGACAACTCAATGGAATCCGAACAGGATACGATTCAGAACCACTCAACTGAATCCGAAGTATGAAGGATTCCGAACCAATCAACAAAATCCAGACAAAGCAAGTGGATGGATTTCGGACCACTCAACGGAATCCCAGCAGAACTAGGTTCCGGACCACTCAACGAAACCGAGTAGAATCCAGAAAATATAGTTTACAATGACTCAACGAAACAAGACACGAAAAAAGTTTGAAGTAACAACTCCGCATGACATTGGATTAACGGTCCTCTACTAGTCCTCACATTTCTCAAACATTTCAAATATGCAAATCAAATTATATGTCACAAATAGATCGAATATGCAAGTAAAAACACAATTTCATAAAAGTAGATCGATGGCTAAATATAAAAGCAATATTTAGTACAAAACACATTTATAAAATCAAGCCATATCCCTCAAGTATATCAGCATAGGGATTTTTGGGGTAATCACTGATACCACATATATTAAAGTCATTCACATGTAGTCCACGCTATGACTCCCTAGCACAAAGATCGATGCGTCGTCGTACGATCGTTGCCCAAAACAAATCACAAGTTTCGTCTCAGAACTTTAATGATAAAATACGTAACTATATGTTGTACCTGTCCTCTAGGACAATCTAGATGGATTCAGAACACGTTGACCTAAAGTCAACCGTCGGTCAAGGGTCAGCGGTAGGAACAACAACCTTATGTAACTTGATCCAGAAGATCCGTTCATCGGACTTCAGATCCATAATCTCCTAAAGTCCTCATTATGCTCCTAGAACAACATATTAAAATTTCGTTACAATCTGATGATCGAATCTTCGCTAATCGCAAAATTAAGAGGCGGTCCACCATAAAACTAGGTTAAAACGGTGAAAATTTCACTGAACTAATGCCAAAAAAGGATTAAGGCATTAACATTAGCTAAGAAAGACATTTTAGGTTTTCGGCCACGGGCCGATGTCGGCATTCCACGTGCTGGCCCAAGTCCGGCAAAATATTCTATTAAAAGTAATGGAATATTCAAGGATATATATCTTAATGCCGTTAGGAAATATTTCAGAGGCTAACGGAATATTCCCTCTCCTCCTTCCTCTTTCCAGTCGCCAACATTGGCCATTGTCCAAACTCACCAGAAACTGGAAAATTAGCCAGTTTGTGCAAAAAATTTAAATGCCTGTTTGGAGTCCAAAGTATAGCTTGAAATTGTCTAAAAGAATTTTCACCAGGACCTAAGCTAGTTTTCTGATCAGCCCACCTACCACCTTTCATAGAGGCAACATCGTGACCCAATGAGGACTTTATGGTGGACCAAAGGGTTAGGATTGACACCTACCACCTTTCAAGAGCCTCCTTCCCAAGGATTGACACCATTATCCTAACCCTTTGGTGGAATAATACTGTCCCCCATATGGAGGACCAAAATCTGAAATTTTGCTATCTTATTGTTTACCCTATGTTGCCCTTCCTTGCTTCCGCACATGAGTAACATATTCACGATCCACCTCCTTAACGAGTGCAGGATCAATATTGAGGTTCCAATCTATTGTTTCAGTATAAATACTTGGATCAGGCAGTGAGGCGCGATTGGCAGCTCATGCATTCTCTGGAAATCTAATGAAAAATGTTGTTTCTGATATTTTACATGGTGAAAGGAAGAGATTACCTAATTTACAAGTATTAGAATTCGACATAGGCCAGAATAACAAAAGAAGCATTCATTCAGTCATTTAAGAAATTCACTTTGATGACCCGATTACAAAAGACCAAAAAAAGATAGCCATACGTGGAGTCCCACATATGAAAGTACCAAAATACAAGTCTATTTTATGTAATGACTAATCCAAAACAAAATAACAGCACGATCATGTCTTCTTCTGCGATGAATTCTGATTTTTGTTGACAAAGATCTTACCAGGAGATTTCCATGGTGCAAAAGTTTGTTTAGAAGTGGTTGGTGGATTCTTGAGGAGGCCATCCAGTCGTAGGATTCGAGCTTCCAAATCTACTTGGAGGAATCTCCACTCTAGGAATTGTGGTAAATGTGGCACCTCTTGCCCCTCCAGTAATGGTTAGAGGATGAGAAGACAATCCAGTCAAAGGATTTGAACTTCAAGTCTACCTCGAGGCATCTCCACTCTAGGAATTGTGGTAAATGTGGCACCCCTTACCCCTATAGTAATGGTTGGTTGACTGGTATCTTGAACCTGTTACAGTAACATCATGAAATGAGATTAGTCACTTATCAATTGTGAAAAATACAGATTCTAAGTAAATAAGAACTCACCTTTGTAGCGTCGTGGGGATCACAATACAACCCTTGCTTGGGGTTGTTTCTCCTTGCTATGAGTTTGGACTTTTTAGGTGTTAGACCTCCATCAATTGCATGTACAACATCTCTAACATCAGCCTAAACAACAGTTGTAAGTTGATTCATTACTTGGTCTTCATTTCAGCAGTTATACTTCTACCACTCCTTTGAGTAGATGAACCACTACTTGGTTTTTTTTTTCTTGCTGCCAATTTCTGGTCTAGGATATGCCCTTCTCTTGTCAATATATACACCTTGTGGAGCTTCTCTAGGCCCATTATTACGTACAAAACTTATGGTTATGCCCCAACCCCGGCACTTGTGGCATTGTAGTCTTTCCCTTCCTACTCACAACCTGCTTAGGATCACTATTATTATCATTTTTTTTTTTTCTCCATTTCAGGTCCTTTTTTCCTTGCTTTTTTTTGGTCTACCAGGTTGTTTTTTCACTAATGGGGGCAAATGAGGGTCCATGTTGCACTTAGGTCACATGTTACATCCTTTCTATAGCAGCATCATTCTCACTGTCATATAGCTCATAATCAGAATCATCACTATCCGTTCCATGCTCGTAATGAAAACCATTGGTGCACTTCCCACTCTTGCACAAAAGTTTAATATAGACCATGACCTTCCTCACCAGAAATTATATTATCATTCACCAACCCACTCCTCATTGTTCGCTTCATCATGTTGTGGATAGGTTGCTTGAGAGAATAATTCTACTGGTACTTGAGAGAACGCAGCATCCGGTATCTCATCAAATACATTGAAATAATTTGATGTTTGATCTTGAGGGGATTCTGGAGCTATATGTGGCGTATTAACATCATGCCCTACATAAATAGTCATCTCCCTTGATCCAGGAATAAGCTTCACCATGTTCATCATATCACTGTCAGAAACTAGCGGATGCAAACCCCATGTTGGGGCTCCTCTCCGGGTTTAGTGTAATGGTATTTCTTCGCATTCGTATATCTAACCTCTTCCATCATGTGCTTCAGTTCAATCATTGACAACAAATCAAGATCCACATTGTCAAAATAACTGTCTTAACACTGAAATATGTATGCTTGGGCAATATCATCAATTTCCTCCATATACAAAATTCAGAGTTAACCTATCAATATCTGTAATTAAAATAAAGTTGAATACTTTAATCAATCAAATGATAGTACGTTGCATAGTTTAATCAATCAAATGACAATTTCAATGGTAACCAACAAGAAATGGCATGTGGAACCCAAAAAACAATAAGATTCGTTCCACTGTTAACAACTAATTTGGCTTATTGCTTTCTACTTTGCTCTGTTTGTTGCTTTTTTATTGCCTTCTTCCTATTCAAAACCCTACACATAAACTCCTACATATAACCACTAAGGAGGAGACCGATTGAAAAGAAAGCAAAAAAAAAAACACTTTCAAGCATAAAATCGCACCTGGTGGATACGATTACAAATGAACCATTTTCAAAATACAAACATCACCTAAAGTTATCAAGATTGTTGTCACGCCCGACCCGCAAATAAGGACTATTCACGAGTTAGGTGTGAGCCATATCTTAGTTATAGCAATAAACTAGAAATTTGTACCCGACCAATGCTGCGGGATTGAAAATCATATGAAATATTTTGCTAAACCTTATCATGAACGGAACAAATTTAGTACCAAAAGAAAAAGTAAAAATCTATTTTTTCATAGTGCAAAGAAGAGATAATTGTTTATTCAAAAAGTTGGACCAATGATAAAATTACAAATGCAATATTAAGAGTATATCAGTCAAACAAAGCTTGCTACATGCTAAACAATGTTGAAAAACATCATTAGCTTTTTCAAGTGTTATATGCCATGAATGTAATTGGATACCAGAATTGTTCCTAGCTTGAGGTGTTTCCAAGGGAAAATTGACCTTTTGTTGTACTCTCTTGGAAAGATTGTAAATACAACTGCAAAAGATAATAAAGACAGTTAGCCAATGATTCAAAAAAAAATATGCATAAAAAGGTTCAACATTAAGTTTTGGGAGAGAGAGTGGAGAGAGAGAGAGGTGAAGTCACCTTATAACCGGAGATCAAATGTATTTTTTTCCTATTATTGAGGTGGTAATTCGACTTGTGAAATTCTAAAATCAAACATTTAAATAAAGTTTAATCAAAATTTAGTACGAAATGTTAATTAGAAATGTGTTACAATGGAAGTAAAAAAGAGTGAAACTTGCCTAATGTGATGTGCACAATTTTACCATTTGTTTGTGAAAAATATACCGCTGTGACATGCCAAATGTTGGTCTTGCCTTCTTGGAAGTAATATTAGTTGTTGATTGCCAGGTAGCATAAATCTGTACAATATTTTATAAATTATGAGAAAAATTATGTCAAAGTTGTGTGCTAAAAATATAATTTATACTTCTACATTGATGCAAGTTATGATTTTAATTTGTATATACCTTGTTGGAGTAATTTTGTGTATGAGTTTCTTATATTCATCATCCATGTTATGTGAAAAGCTGATTCCAAGTTCTGCAGAAAATCACAAAGAAATGAAATATAAAATTGGAGCGAAGATTCAATTATGCAAATTCACACTTCTAAACACATAATATTCAAATAAAGAAAATTTTTGAATAGAAAGGCACTAACATTTCGACACCCATTGTTTGGATGCAATGAAATTCTCATAAATTCGTGGCAAACCCTCGATGTCATACTCCTAAAAGATGAAAAACATATAATTTTAAACAGAAAAAAAGGTACAAAAAATACCTCAACAAATCACAGCATTTTCTCTTCCCTTTATCCTCATACTCTTTACCCACGTTCATGCTATGCTCAAACACAACCCAAATTAATCAAAGGAAATATGCACAACCCAAGAGAAATTAATTAATTCAAATAATTATTCAATTCCTCACAACCCAAATTAGTTCAAATGAAATCTGCACAACCCAAAGTAAGAGATCATACCAAATATGCACAATCCAAATGAAGAGATCAAACTCTAATTCTCTCAAAAAGCCATTATTCATAACGCCACCTTTCTTTATGGCACCCTATCCATTCTGTCAGTAACCGATACAGAAACAAATAAGTCCATAAAACAGAAATATACCCAAGAAGTATATGTACACAACACAAATCAAACCAATCAGCGATCTTTATTTAAATAGACCAAAATGAGTAATAATTCATTGACCCCTCACTTCACCATTCTAAGCTTTTCCATATCTCTGTGTGTATATATGAGGGTAGACATTCAACCCTCACTTCTTTCTTTGAGAGTTCTGCATACGAATTGGAGGAAACCAAGGAATTCGAAGCTTTTCCATACCTCGGCTTATATTTTGAGGGAATTTAATGTGTTCCTTGAAATTGGTAAAAGTGATTGTGGAGGAATAGGGGAAGAGTCCACTATCTCTCAAGCTCTTCCCTTCGAACTGTTGTAAAAGAAACTCTCACATCCACCATTCCCCCTATTCCAATTCAAAAAAAATTATATTAAAAATTTTAAGAAAAAACTCAACAGAAAATCACTAAATGGTTCAATAAAAAGGTGGAAACTTTACCTGAGGAACTGAAAGCCAAGCTGTGATGAGAGCAAGGCAGATGGTGCTGCAAATGCTATGGAGGGACAAAATCAGGACTGATAGGATTGAATAAATCAGTCGGAAAACTCAGGATGTGATCAACCTGTTCGTTGCCAAGTTGCATCCACACAAAAACCAAACAAATTAATCCCAACATCCCAATAACAAAAATCATACCAAAAAATTGCCAATTAGATTCGATAGCTTACCACAATGTCTTGTGACGAACTCCGATCACTGTCATCGATCTTCATATGCTACCAAAGCCCATACGGGACTAGAGAACCAAAACCCACCAAAGAAATCTCAGGAATAGGCTAGAACTCCTAAGAAAATTCAAAATTTTGGGCAAAGATGGCGTTTTTTTCGATTTTGTTGGAGGGCTTGAGGGTTTTGGGATTTGTTGGTTTCAGGTTGCGATTAAGGAAAGCAAATGGAAAAGTTATTGGAACATTTGAGAGAGCTCGAGAGATCTCGGAGAGAACATATGCTTGTACCATTACCAACACTTCCTTCCCCTCTCAGATGGCTAACACGTGTACATCCAACCTCATTTCCTCCCACGATAACAAACACGTGTACAATGGGGGCAATACGTGATTTCACTGTATAACAAAGGAAAAAGGCTAAGAATTAAGCAGCAAATGAGGGGTAATTTCGTCAAATCACTGTTAATAAACAGTGACTTCAAATCGAGTTTTAGTGTATGTAATTTTATAACCAAGGCATGGTGGGAAAAATTAACATAATATTATTTTAACTGAAACACAATACATCATTTAACAAACTTTCACATAATAAATCCTCAAGTTTACTACATAAAATTTATTAAATACGTAGCATAATAAAATTACTACACAAATTAATTCACAACAAAAAGTACCAACTAAATAATAGTTAGAATGTAACAATTCTTTCAAATGCATAAAACATATGCAAGTGAGATGGAAGAATGTACTCACTTCCTTCTAATCTCGCTAGCATGTACCTAAGGCACTCAAGCCTGCATGTCTCGTACCATATTATACCACTTGGCTCTAAATATCTTAGGATATGAGTAGCACTCGTTCATCTATTAATCTAAATTTTTATAATTCACTTCTCAGTTTCCACTTTATTATATAGACACTTCCCCTCGACACCTGACATATATAAGGTTCATTATTATATATTCAAGGCATTCTTCAACCCTTGCATATCATCACAACTCCACACTTTAGACAACTCAATACAGCTCAACTTTTTGTCTTGCATTGCAAGCTTATGTATATTTAAGGCAACATATCAATGTCAATATCTCATGATCTATAATAACCATACAATTTGCAACATAAATTGAAAATAGTTAGTAATCAAAAATAATATAGACTATCAATGACAAAGTATTGATAGCTCTCTAGCCAAAAACAACATAAATGAGAAAGTATCACTTTACCATTGTCTGCTTTTGATGATCATCCTTCACATAACAATTTCATCATTTTAATTTTAACTCTTTCTTATATTTTCCTTTTCATTAATTCGTGTTCTTATAAAATTTCTTTATTCATACCAACTCTCTCCAAACCTTCCAAAACTCTTTTATTTCTATATAACCCGTGACCCCTCTCTCTTTCTTTCTTTCTTTCTTTTGAAATCTTTTCCTTTTTCGCTCCCATGTTTGTTCCTCAATTCTTTTCTTTCTTTTGTTACTCACAATTCTCTCTCAATTGTGTTGCTCCCACTCTTTTCTTTTTCTTCTTCTTCTCACGCTTCCACTCCCTTTGAATCACAAGTACACCGCCTCTTTCACCAACAGAGATTGTTCCGTCAAAGCTTCGCCATGATTGAGACATAAGGCGGGAACATAGTACATTAGGTTGGTTGCTACTTGGTGGTGGCGCAGCAACACATCGAACGTCTTGTCGGCGATGAGGTGATGTAGAACCATGGAGATGGCTGAGATATTTGACAAAACGGAGTGTAGAAGTCGGTGCTAAAGGGTGTCAAGGTTTCCATTGGGAAGTATGGTGCGTATGCTTAGCATCTCCGTTTATTTTTTTTGGGTATTGAGATTTGATATTTGGTGCTCATTCTCTCTAGCTACACTACTACAATTAACACTTATCACGACGAAAAAGTATTGGTTGCGTAAAGCAATTTCCGGTCACACAAAAGATGGCTGAAAATTGTCTGAATCACGCCTAGAAGTCTTGGCCCAAAACCTTGTTCTTCAAACTCATGTTTCGGGTTCGTTTTCAATGAAATAAAAATCACAACGGAGTTTATGGTGGTGAGGACATGCATATAATGGTGGTTTTGGTGTTCAACAAGCCAAAATTTTGGTGGTGGTGGGGGTTTGTTTCACAGGAAGAAAGGGAGAGCCGAGAGAGAGTGAGAGAACGAGAGAGAACTCTCTAGAGAAAGAGAGAACGAGAGAGAAAAGGGAGGAGAGAGAGAGAGAGAGTTCAAGAATTTTTGGGTGCCCATGTGGCACTCACCCAATGGTTAGACAAAAATATTATATGTCCAATTAATTATCAATTTACCAAAATATCCTCGACGTTCAAAACCTCATAAAATCTTCGTTATAATTCCGAATCACATTATGTTTGTGCCCACGCGTTCATAGTGACGAATACTATGAGGATACGCCAAGAAAAAAGATCTTACATGACACAGCACGGTGGTCAAATAAAGTCAACGTATTTGCCTTGAAATGCATTTTCGTAAATTCACTTATTAAAATTATAAAAACCGTAAAATTGGGAACGGACTGTTACATCTAACCCCTAATTTAAAATTTCTCTTTAAAAAAAAAACCCAATTTAACATGGCAAATTAAGTGAATTGAAAAAAAAAATTAAGAGGAAATTACCTCTTGGAGATGAAGGAGCGACAAATCGATGGAGCGACAGAGAGAGGGGTGAAGAGCCGAGGTGAGCGATAGAGAGAGGGACTGAGAGGGTGAGAGAGGGTGTCGAAGAAGAGGAACTGAAGGTGAGAGAGAGTGAGACACGATGGCAATGGCGTTGGAGCTCGTCAGGAAAAAGATGAAAGGGTGAGAAGTGTTTATCGAGAAAAAGAGGAAGAAGAGAGAAATAAGGGGAGGAAAGGCGATGGGAAATAAATAGATTGATTCTTGCATAACGAAGGGTTCATCGTGCAAGGTTTAAAACTTTGTCGCGTGGTTTTTTTAAATTTCAGGAAAAAAAAATCAACGCCAGAATCTCATCCGCTCCTTATTCCCATTCGTTCCAAATCAAGATGAGCTTTGATCTTGTCCTTTATCTTGCCCTTGATATCTAGAATTATGCCGACCAATGTGTCGAATACATTTTTCTCAACATGCATAACGTTGAGGTTATGTCTCAATTTTAGTTTCGACCAATACAGAAGCTTAAAAAACATAGACTTGTGCGTCCAGTTCATATGTGTAGAAGGTCTGGTCCTACTTACAATTTTCCCAAACAGAGCAAAATCCAAATTGTTAAGCTGTTCCAAAATCTGATCATCAGACCATTCTCTGGGTCTTAAGCGAGGCTTTGTTTTCCCATCAAACTCTTTATCCTTTTCACGCCACTTGTGGTCCCATAGCAACCATCTTTGATGACCAAGGTGACAAACTTTTTCGGCATGCCATATAACCCTTAATGCTCTTCCCGGAAACCATTGCATAGGCTGGAAAATCGTTCACAATCCACATCACTGCTACCCGCAAAGCGAACATCTTACCAGTACACTTATCATATGTGCGTACACTATTTTTCCATAAATCCTTTAGCTTATCAACCAACGCCCTTAAATAAACATCAATTGACCTACAAGGATCCTCAGTTATCAATAAAGTTATCACATGTATTTTTTTTTCATGCATTTCCAATGCGGCAATTATACGGAAATATGAAATTGTTGTGGTGTTGGTTTAAGATCCCAAATGTATTGAATCCGTTAGTGGGAAGTCCCACTCTAACGTTTTGAGGATAAGAAGCAAAATCGGGGAACTTTCGATCGAACTCTTTCCATGCCTCTACATCTATAGGATGCCTCATCACATCGTCATTTACTAGTTTTTCCTCATGCCATCTCATGTCGGAGGGAGATAACGCATGACTTTTTGTGGAATCTTTGTCATTCTATTATGAGATGTCATTTTGAACCTCAACTCATTGCATATAGGGAATTTATCCAAAGCTTTATTCTCCTTATAAAACAATAAAAAATTGTTTTTGTAAGCATGAATTTTTTTTCATAACCCAATCCAACCATTCAACACCTTTTGAACGTTTCTATGGTCTTTCGGCAAACAATTGTCTTTTGGTAGCATTCTCTTGAAAACCCCAAAAAGTAATCAAAACACTAATTCGACATATGATACTTTATTTTGCCATCATCAGTTCCACAATAGCCATGAGAACCGAAAAGCCCTACCAAGTATAACTCTTGGTTGGCATTTTTTAATAGTTTTTCATATTGTTCAAATTCTGCACTATCCATTGGTGTAGGCACGTTATCTTCCTCTTCCTAATTGGTGTTTGTCAACACAAATGGAAAACCATCATTTAAATTTTCCATGACTTGTTCATTAGGATTCACATTAGGTTCAACATTGCCCACTCTTGTGACGTTTGAAGACGAAGCATTGTCTAATTGTTCCCCGTGATGATTTTATAGGTCTCTACCATTCCATTCCTTACTAAATGAAATCGAACATTTTCAATTGTGTCCCTTAATGTATTTTTACACCTCTTACAAGGACATCGAATTCTAGTTGTACTCGGATTATGTGTACGTGCAAAGTCAATAAAATCATCAATTCTATCCTAGTATTCGTCGATGCATCTGTTCAGGTTCTGCATCCACGTTCTATCCATAATTTTTGCAACCACAATAATAGTACAACAATTACAACAACTTCAACATGATCTTGTTACCTTATGCCTCTGGTAAAGGCCCCATCCCATTCGGGAATACAAAGTTATGCCACGTAATTTACGGCTACATCAGATTAGATTTCAACATGAAGAAATTTTGGCAGCATCTCTCTACAGTTCTTCAAGTGCATGATGTGGATATGGAATACCTAGTGTTGGAAGTATGCCCACAAAGCCACTCATTTGATGTAATAGCTTTTGGAATACCTATTGTGTTAAACTATTATATGTTTAATGAAGGGCAAATCGTATTGTTAATCACTATTTATTGTATTCTGCGTTTAAGCAATAAGGGAATCCAAGAAATGTATTTAATCTAAGACATGTATTTAGTGTTGGACACTAAGACAAACACATAGGTGCTCGACAAGGTAATCGAGTACAATGTAAGAACTCATAAGTTGCAATATGCAAAGTAGTCCTTTGACCTGAGGCATCATAGATATCTAATGGTTAGGTCCTTGACATTTGATCTTGTCAAAGGCATTTCATCGAGAGTGTCCACGACATTGTTGGGGTCAAGCTATCTAGTCATGTAGGAATATGAATGCACAACAAGGGATCTCTAACCT